TCAGCTCTCATATTGGTTTGGTTTACATCGTGCAGTTGATACGTGTACAAAATAATAACTTTCTATAGATAATTTTAGATAATATTAGATAATTTTTGATAATATTAGATAATTTTAATATCGATGATATATATAATCAATGGTATATTAAGCTGGTATAATACTCATCAAGAAAACGTATTGTATTGATTGAATGCATCGCCGTTGATACGCATTGTCAATATTAAGATTATCTAATAGAAAATTACTATTTAGTAAACGTGTATCAAGTGCATGATGTAAACCAGGCCATTATTTTCGCTTAAATCCTTTGTGTTTTTATATACGATGGAAGCACTGTTCAGAGTAATGGCGTAGGGTCACTAAAGACTAGGGCTGCATTCCGAAATTCACTGCTAGTACTGAAAATCTATAGTTCATGTTACGTATACTATAGAATTTCAACACTGGCAGTGAATTTCGGAACGTAGCCTAGGTGTTCTCAGCCAACTATTGAAGTCGGAAGTCTGTAGCCTTTGTATTGTTTTAGTATTCGTGAAGAAATTCGTACAACATGGGTATGTTGCGATATTCGACTATTTCACGTTTATAAAATGTTTTGTACAAAAATAATACTTTTGTTTTAAATATTTTTTTAATATTTTACTCAACATTTACGAATACTAATATACATAGAAAACGTTTATCTCTGCTCAAACTTTGTCGCGTGCTGCAAAGCTCATGTTTTTTCATCACTGTTATTTCAATTAACAATCTGAAAAAGGAATAAAATATCCGCAATTACCAGTTACTTAAATAATCAATAAATATCCGTAAAATTGATATGAGTAGACTACGTGGTTAAAGGTGGACCACGGTCAAGTACTTGTAGGTTAAGATCACGTGTTCATGACTATTGGTTATTAAAGTGAAAGAAACGTTTCCAGTACATTTTGTAAATATATTCAACTGCAAGTATCATTTTACAGAAATATTTTGTTCTATAAGAATTTTGAGTATATTTTCTCGTTCCGATAGCAAGGAAGCTTCAATGTGTCTTAACTTAAGATGCATATCAAAACGTCCTTTTCGAAAATAATTTTATTGTAAATAATTTTATTCTGTTTACATTACATATATGAATTTTTAGTAAGATTTTCCTGAAACAAAAAAAAAACATTTGAAATGTAACCTTAAATGTCCATATATGATATAATCTAACATTTCCTTATTTCTATATTTTAAAGGTAAACCCAGAGGTCTACGCACTGCGCGTAAGCACGTAAACCACAGGCGTGATCAGCGGTGGAATGATAAAGATTATAAAAAGGCACATTTAGGAACAAGATGGAAAGCCAATCCTTTTGGTGGTGCTTCTCATGCAAAAGGCATTGTCTTGGAAAAAGTGTATGTGATAATATAATCATGTAGTAGCTCACTAGAGTGGTTAGACATCCAAATTTTACCATTAATGTTCAGCTGTGCAGCTAATATTAAAAGTGCCCAGAATTTAGACATTTAAAATCATATTTGGCGACCCAAGTTGCATACAAAGCAATTACATCTGATTTTAAATAATCGATTTACTTAAACTTTTGTTTTACAGAGGAGTGGAAGCTAAGCAACCGAATTCGGCTATCCGTAAATGCGTCAGAGTGCAGTTAATAAAGAACGGCAAGAAAATCACTGCTTTTGTACCAAGGGATGGTTGTCTAAATAACATTGAAGAAAACGATGAGGTTCTGGTAGCGGGTTTCGGTCGTAAAGGCCATGCCGTTGGTGATATACCTGGAGTTCGATTCAAAGTAGTAAAGGTTGCGAATGTATCTTTACTTGCACTGTATAAAGAAAAGAAGGAACGACCGAGATCTTAAAGCATCGATTTTCAATGTATTTCTATACCTTTGTATCATAATCTTGTTGACATAAATATGAAAACGATTTTTTAAAAAGTACACGTAATAATTTAATTCATCAAAATACATCGTGTTTTGAGCAATTCCTATAAAAATTTTTACAATGCTCCCTATGCAATTGTGGAAACAAGCAATTGCATCTCATATATTACAAATGTATGAATTATATAAGTTAATGTGTGACAATTGCACCTCATGCTACATATGAATTATAAATATAAAATCAATCGACATTATTGTCTGTCAAATTTGAGGTCAAGTTTTCGAATTCTTCATTATGAATAATTATATCCTCGATTGTCGCGTTTAACGGTGTGGTGGTCTTTGGTAATCTTCTTGTTAAATCCACATTCGATATCTCGTCTTTTGCCCGTAGCATCTGTAATTGCGAATGTACCTTGTGAAATCAATAGTAAGTGACAATTGTGATCAGAAACAAAAGAATTTGTACCTTCTTTACAGTGAAAAAATTGGAGCATATCTTTTTAATGTCCAAACGAATAGAGTTAGTAACAGTTTGGTCTAAATTTCTGGATTGCACTGGCCAAGATGAAACAGTCTGAAATGCTTCTATGAACTTTTCTTTTTCTTTGTTAAATAATGCATCCTCCTCTTCACTGCATCTTTCTCCACTGACTAATCTATCATCAATCTGTAATCATTTACAAGAAATATATAGCAATTCCTGTGTATGTGTATACTTCCATGGAAACAATAAGGTATTAAATATAATTAATTTAGTCCAAAATTAGTTAATTAAAAATCATTTAATTTTTTCTCTTTCTCTACTGTAATTTTTATAGTACCAGAAGAATTATTACTTATTATTATTATTATTGCTTTTAATAATAAGAAAAAAAAAGAAATAATACTATTGTACCTCGATATGTGCACCTTCAGATATATCAGACTTTGTATCTCTCTCTGTACAGTTATTGTCAAATAATTCTTTCTCACTCTCTTCAAAATATTTATTAGCTTCTGTATAGTTCAATTTTGGCTTAAAAACTGAGAGGTGAAGTGTCTGGTCAGTATCATCTATATACATCTAAAGGTTTAAATTTTAGCATTAGGCATTAATATATTTCATTCATTTCATTAACATTGAAAGAATTGCTGTTTTCTCAAGATTTTCATACCTTAACAACATCCATGAGAGATTCTTCTGTCTCAGTTGTATTGACAGAAGTCTCCATGTGTACTTTTTTCATGAAATCCAACAATAATCTTAAAGTCGGAAGCTGTTCTTTCATCGAACACTTACCCTAATGTAAATAAATTATTTTTAATGTATATTATCTCTTTAAATTAAATTACATGCATTAAGAACTTCTTAATTCCTGTGAACTATGATTTTTAATGAGGAATATAACAATACTTTAACATACCAGTAATAGATCCTTATTATTGCAGATTCCAATTTGAGAATAGTATTCAAATAACTGATCTAAAATGACATACTTGTTGGTATTGTTGGAAAAATACTATTATTTGTTATATACATAAATATTATTTTGCTATTACTTATTATATACTTGTTATATACATAAATTCACTGAAGTAGTAAATAAAATTGGAAATACAATTCCAATTTTAATTATACTGAATGAATGTAATACAAATTACGATGGTGTCATAAGAAAAACAGAAATACCTTCCAAAGCAGTATCCTTTAATTTTTCCAACTGAACGGCAATAAATGATGATTTCTCCGTTAGAAGCCAAGAGAGGAGGCACATGCGATTTTCACCACTGAGTATTGTCGTTCCTACGTCTCTCAACTCCACATTACTGATGTGTGGATATCGTAATTGTAGTAAAGTATCGTATATACTTGCCATAACACTGCTTACAGTATTCATAGTGGCAAGTTATATCGGTGCCAGCAAAACTTAAGGAAAATTCTAAATTTGTAGATTATACAAGAATTTTTAATTTCCCCGACGCAAATATTCATCTTTCGCCATTTCGTGGAAACATCAGTGAAAAAAACGATGCTATATGTGTCAAACAAATTATTTTGAAGTTTTAAACAACAAACATGAACGACAAGTTTAAATATCAGGGTGACTATATATAAACATAATAATACGAATAGATCGAGAGCATGCGCGAAAGAATAGAACAGTCAATAGAGGTTGCGTTCCAAAATTCACAGCCAGTATTGAAATTCTATAATATACGTAACATAAACTATAGATTTTCAATACTTCAGTGCATTTCGGAACGCAGCCATCATGACCAAAATTGCATAATATCTCACGTATTATATGTATTATACATTTTATGCATTAAGTTTTATGTGCAGAAAACTCAAGTAATCTACGCAGATAACTAAATGAGGTTTTCTGCTGCATAAAACTTCTTTTAGAGCTATTCTACATTTGCGTAAGCGCGGTCGTAAGTGTTGTATATGATTACGACAACCAATCAGAATAAAGTAATCAATGAATAAAACATTCTGATTGGTTGACTTTATAACTATTTCCTATATAAAACAAAACATAAATATTTGTCCATGATCATGAAAAACATGAAATTGTTGAATCTAGTTCATCGCTGTATTCCATTTTTAATTTCTTTATATCTATATGTATATACAGATAAATTAATGAAACTGATTCAAGAGCAGCGAGTAGGATTGTATCTAGATTAGGGTGCGTTCAGATTCCCTACCCGGGTGCACTCTGTTATTAGAAACACTATAGTATATGTCACATATACTATAGCACTTCTTGTATTAGAGTGCATCCGGGTAAGGAATCTGAACGCAGCCCTAGAGATGCCCGATTCTTAAGGTGCGATTTCACGCAGCGAATAAAAGCTAGCGTTTTACCCCACTCCATCAATTTTTACCGAAATGGCGAATGTAGCGAATAAATGCTCAAAGTTCGATACAGTCCAACTTTTAGCGAATAAAAGTTGGCGTTTACCACCACTCCATTAATTATCGCTAAAAAGACGAATGAAGCAGATAAACGCTCAAAGTTCGACACAGTTCAACTTCTCGCGATTTAACTGGATCAAGTGATTGTAATTAATTAATAGCGAATTCGGTTGCTTGCACTAGTGTGCACTGAGTGCGCACTAAGGCTTGTTCATAGTATGTTATTATATTTAAAGATTGTCTTAAATAATTCTCAAATAAATTCTCAAATATTTTTAACCATAATATGATATGTATAACATCCGTACGAATCATTTTATTAGTTAAAATGTTTTTAAATATGTATTTAAGACACGATCTTAAATATAAGAATGTACTGTAAACAAGCCTTAATGCGAACTCAGTGCGCACTAGTGCAAGCTACCGAATTCGCTATTAGTGAATAAAATAGGTCATATAAATCTGATGAAAAATTTTTCATGCATAATTATGTATGAAATTTGTCCATACATAATTATGTATAATCATATAACATTATATATCATTATACACAATTATGTATAACAATATGTATAATTACATATAAATCTATGCGTACCCAGATAGAAATGCGTGATTATCACGTTTCATCATAATGTGATGTCATACTGTGATTTCACCTTGATACCTTTTTAAAGATCATTATGTGATTAACATGACATGAGCACAAGATGTATACAAATGATATACGAATATGTCTAGTCCATCAAGTTTTGTTATTATAATATCATTAGATGAGATATTTTTCTGATCATCATTATATGAACGACATATGAGCAATATATACACACGCATTTATATGCATTTTTGCAATCATCCACGTCAATATATGAGCGCGTGCTAAGCGCAACATGACATCATTTTTCTATCTGGGTAATTATATAAAATTATATATGAATTTATATATATAATTATACATGATTATATATATAAGTAGAATGTATAAACATGAATGGACAAATTTAATATATAATAATAATAATATAATAATAATATATAATAATAATATATAATAATATATAATTATGTATAATTATATATAATTTTATATAATTGTATATAATTATGTATGAAAAATTTTTTATTGGGAAAACAGCAAATTATAATAAAAACAAGAAATTATGGCTGAAGGGACTGATAAATTGACAGCGC